CTACGAAGAAAACATAGATCGTGTGCTTCGCCGGAGATGGTGATGGCGTCGTCCTCGAGATTAACTGGATTATCTACTTAGAGATATTTTCATTTTAATTTAAAATTTTATTTTTAGATTTTTGCATTTCAGTATATTTTCATTCGAATTTAAATTTATATATTTGAATTATTTATATATATATATATATTTTTTTTTTTGTGATATGTAAAATATTTATATATAATTTGTGGGGAAATGTTTTTATTAGTAGACAAACAGAGAAATAGAAATAATTGCCCGGGTTCCTGTAGCATGAACGTCAACTACCCGGAAACTAAATAAACACTCCATTTTTATTTATAACAAGACAATTGATAGTCCTGGTTCTGCCTGAATAAATGTTTGTCCAACAAAAATGGTTTCAAAATATAATATTAATAGTAAAAAGCATGTTCTACTGGTTCTACATTTCAGCAGAAAATCTTAGAATATCGTTATGAAAGTTGAAAAAACAACTAGAAGACACGTTTATCTCTCCACCAAGACTGTATATATCTGATTACCTATTTACATATTCATACTTTCTTACATTTTTGTTTTTTTCTTCTTCTTGGACTTCGGAACTAATCTCTTTAAAACGAAATGTGTTAATATAAAGCTTTTGTTGTTAATATTTTATATAATAAGTAGGAGTAATTTAAATAGTAATACCATGTGAATAATAAAAATAGTAATATATGAAGATATGAATTCATTATTATTAATCATAATCTCATTTTCACTCCAGAATATGTAGACTTTTATTAGACTAATTTGCATATTATAGGGGTGAAACCACGAACCTGATTACATCGCAATACTTTATATAATATGAAAGCCATATACAAGGTATGTCCCATAAGTTCCCGGACTGGGTCCATAAAAAAAAAGGTAAGATTTTTTAATTTTTTTTTTATTAAAACTTTTCAAAGTAATCCCCCCTTGCTTCAACGCACCAGCGCCATCGTTTCTCCCAATTGTCGAAACAGTTTTTATAAGCCTCTTTTGGAATGCTCTTCAATGCTATCGGCGATTTTTCTATTATGTCATCCCTGGTGTCAAAATGTCTTCCTTTTAGAACTGCTTTAAGTTTGGGGAACAGGAAAAAGTCATTTGGTGCGATGTTTGGGAAATAGGGTGGTTGAAGTAGGATTTGTGTCTCGTTTTTCGCCAAAAAGCTAGTCATCAAGTGCGCTGTGTGAGGGCGAGCATTGTCATGGTGTAGGATCCAGCCACCATTAGTCCATTTTTCTGGCCTTTTTTTTTCGAATCGCTTCCCTTAGACGGCGAAGAATGCCCAAATACATTTACTTAATAACTGTTTGCCCTGCAGGAAGATACTCGTGATGAACAATGCCCTTGTTATCCGAAAAAGCGACCAGCAACACCTTGTTTCTGGATTTTTTGGGTCTAGGCTCACCCTAACCTCTCCACTCGGCAGATTGAGGTTTGGTTTCAGGGTCATAGCCATAGACCCATGTCTCGTCGCCTGTGATTATCTTGTCTTTCCATCCTGGATCCGTTCTTGTCATTTCCATCATGTCCTCACAGGTTGCAAGCCGACACAGTTTTTGCTCATTGGTGAGGAATCTTGGGATGAATTTTGCAGGAGTCTTTTTGAGCTTCAAATCTTCGGTTACGATCCTTCCAATCGTTGTTTTAGAGATGCCTGTGTCTTGCTCTAGCTCCAGCAAAGTGGTTCGAGGATTTTCTTTCATCAAATCGGTGATATTTTGCACATTTTCATCAGTCCTTTGAAATTTTGGGCATCCTTGACGAGGATCGTCTTCAATGGGAATTCTGCCAGCTTTAAATCTAGAATGCCATTCAAAAACAGTTGTTCTCTTTGGGGCGTCATTGGGGAATGCTTTATTAAGCATTTCAAAAGTTTCGGTTGCTGATATTTGAAGTTTCACACAAAATTCTATGCAAATCCTCTGCTTCAATTTTTGTTCCATCGTAAAATCGCCGCAGCGCTAGGTGTGACCTTTAAATAAATTAGAATAACCTTGGCGCGCGCGCAAGTACCGCCTCGATATTGGTACCACCGTGTAGCCAGATATTTTTTCTATATTAAACAGTCAAATTCATTTACATTTTTCATTTATTTATTTTTTTTATGGACCCAGTCCGGGAACTTATGGGACATACCTTGTATATACATGTATATAAGCCAATTATTATGAAAATAAAGGAGAAAATAACGGTCTATGCAAATCACCCTGTAATTGGACTAATTTGAATATTAATGAGTTGAAACAATTGCAGTGACTCCTTCAGGACCTAAATCTATAAGGTGTCAAAATTTTATCCTGATAGGTAAATATTGTTGAAATGAATGATGAACAAAAAAAAAAATTTTATATACACTCATAGACAAATCTTAAGGAAGTTGTACCTTTTAGCATGTATATTGGTATTCAGACAATAGCTCTGAAAGATATTTGATACACAGTGACCTTTATTGAAGAAACACGAGATAACCAAGTGTGAACAAAATTGTCTCTGTCTCCTTAAAAAAAACAGACATCGGCGACATCAGACTTTCCACTTCCTTAAGTTTTGTCCACGAGTGTATATATATACACCAAAACAGGCACCTAACAAACAATAAACACAATACATTTATTATACACTAGCCGAGTTACCCAGGTAGTAACCGAATGGAAACTCCCCCAAAAAATAGTATTCTTAACAATAGTAAGACTACACTAAAGGGGTATAAGTACTTTCAAAAGAAATTAATAATTTTTATAGGCATACTTTTCATAATGCTAAGTTACATATTTTGATGTTACACAAAAATATTCTCAATCTTGTTTACTTAAGTTTTAAATTTAGTTAAAATTGATGCATTCTAACGAAATATTTTAGCGAGTCCCACTTATGAAATATACATGTCGTGATGTAGATTATCCTGTCGGATGACTGTGGTGTGGTTGGTTAGATGCAGTCGCTGTGGCTTCAATGATCAGAGTGGTTTCAGGCGTGAATGGATTACACAAAAGGACGAGAAATGTTGGATGTCACCTTAGAAAAGGCGAGAGAGCAAGTGAAGGCCGACGGACGCTGGCCGAGAATGGAGTCTCATCTATATTTGATCAAAGGAGGGCACCCCTGGTAATCCGACTATGTTTTTAACGGACCGACGGTGTAATCGGAGACCTTCCTCCTGTCTGGCGCCGGTTGTCACTCAATCTAATTTTTTTATTTCGTTTTGGTATTACACTATAGTTATATTACATATGGGGATATATGTATAAATTGAAATATATTACAACACATATATATATCAAAAATAAAGAAGGCATTTCCTGACCACGAGCACATGTGCTTTTTTTGATGGCAGAGCGCCATCTAGTGGAGCAAAAATGAACTAAACGTTTATTTAGCTTGCTCCGTGATATTTGGTCAACCCAATTTCTTGATTTATCAAGAAAAACCATCTTTTTTTGGTCGCAGTGGTACAGCCTACTCCACGCTGACGAGTGCCAACAGCGAGAAACGCGTTCGTGGATGGCTTTTCTTGATTTATCAAGAAATTGGGTTGGCCAAATATCACGGAGCAAGCTAAATAAACGTTTATTTGTTTTTTCTCCATTAGATGGCGCTCTGCCATCTAAAAAGCACATGTGCTCGTGGTCAGGAGATGCCTTCTTTATTTTTTATATCAACATCTGACCCACTTATCTTTTTTTTTTCTATTGTTTTTTCAAATATATATATATATATATATATATATATTAAAAAACGAAAGAAAAAAATAAAAGATAAAAAGATCAGGTGTTGAAATCAATATGAAAAATGGCATATCCTGACCAGGAGCACATGTGCTTTACAGAAGGCAGAGCGCCATCTGGTGGAACAGAAATCAACTAAACATTGATTTAGCCTGTTCCCTGATATTTGGCCAACCCAATTTCTTGATAAATCAAGAAAAGCCATCCACGAACGCGTTTCGCGCTTTTGGCGCTCGTCAGCGTGGAGTAGGCTGAACCATTGCGACCAAAAAAATATTTTTTGGTCCCAATGGCTTCCCGAAAAATCAAGAAATGGGTATTTAAGGCCAAACTTGCGTAAATACGCTTAGCACATTAAAAAACGAAAGAAAAAAATAAAAGATAAAAAGATCAGGTGTTGAAATCAATATGAAAATATCAGGGAACAGGCTAAATCAATGTTTAGTTGATTTCTGTTCCACCAGATGGCGCTCTGCCTTCTGTAAAGCACATGTGCTCCTGGTCAGGATATGCCATTTTTCATATATATATATATATATAACATAGAGCTGTGGGTGGATGGAATTCATATACCAAAAAAACAACTCTGAGAAGACTGTCTCAATTGCCCCCGCGAAGGGGCTAATGTTCTAGTTATACAATGTAATATGCATCATGTTTTAAAACTTCTAATTTTGTAATCTGAGTAAAGATAAAATTGTGAAAAGCGTTCTAAAAAAACTACAAAACTTTCATTACAATGAGTTTTTTTTTAATGCAAGCTTTCAAGCGATAATCTCTCTTCAACGGGCTTAATTAAAACAATTAACTATTTCTTACAAGGAATATGTAAAATTTATTTACATATTTACAAATTTTTGAATATTTCTTGTAAAAAAAGTCGATTCTTTTAATTAAGATCGTTGAAGAGCGATTATCACTTGAAAGCTTGCAATTTAAAATAAAAAAGAAACTCATTGTGTTAGAAAATATTTGTAATTTTTAAAAATGTGACTAGAGAGTAAAAGATGCCAGACATTTATAGACCACCTGTTGAATTTGTATCTCCCTCATTTCCATATTAATCAACAAAATAGAATTCTAATTGAAATATCAATTTTATTATGATGCATTAGCGCGCCATCTGTTATCAAAATACGAAACTATTTTAGACGCGTATGTTTCCTCCCATTAATTTTTCCATTACAGTAAGGGCAGTTATAAGTTACTTTAAGTATTAGTTACGAACGGAGAAATACGTCCAGGGCAGCCTAGTGGACATGGCACCTGCCCGGTAAGCAGAAGGTTGTGGGTTCGATTCCCGCCCCTGGACACTTTTATTTTTCCGTTCGCCATTACTCTTCATATTTTCACCCTTCCATACGTCATCCAATCATATATAGACCATCACTCTTCATATATTCAACCTTTTCATACGTCATCCAAAAAGTTAGAAATATTAGATATTTCTCTTTGAAATTAAAATTGATTTTTCACAAATAAAAGAAACTTATGCGGTTAAACTTTAAGTATTGCTTTATAATCATACGCCGCAGTCATTTATAAGAAATTGTTCTATTTTCAAAAGAATCATACACGTCTAAAATAGTTTCGTATTTTGAAAATATCAATTTAGGTAACAAAAGTTCACCGCGCGCCATGGTGTATCGTTCTATTAACTTATTATTTAGAATGAAGAGTTATAAAAGTGATATTATAGAATGTTTGGTAACAATACTTTTAAATATAAGAAAAATAATCATTATGAACAACGAATGTTTCTTTTTTCAAACACAAAACATACTATTCTACTGTCCTTACTGCGATGAAAAACTATATTGGGAGGACTTGACTCATCAGTGGTGAACCTCCCAGCGGTTAGAGCTCTATGAGAAGCGGTCTGGTAGATTAAATTGGCGACTCCGCCTTTGCCGGTCCCAAGCCCGGATGTAAAAGAGGAGGGGGAGCAGCAACAAGCTCGCTAAAAAACCTGGGCTCAGCTGGCCCGGCTGATAGTACCCTGTAAGGACTACAGGGATACAGGATGAGTCTGTACTCCATGTTAGGAGCAGCTTCACATGGCGTCTGTTTTTTATGTCAGAGGCAGCCATTACATATCAGAGCTAAGTCGGCCTGTTACTGAGTAGTGCTCCCAGTCTTAATGACAAAAGAAGACGCATTCTACTTCGCCCAATCATTATGGAGCTCTACAGGCTTGATATCCTAATATGATTGAGTGGAGATAAGAAAGAAGAAGAAATTGGCGAAACCGTTGGGAGGGTTCACCACTGATGTACCAAGAGCCCTCCCAATATATTTTTTAATCGCAGTAAGGACAGTAGAAGAGATTGTTTTGTGTTAGAAAAAAGAAACATTGGGGTTTTATAATGATTCTATTTCTTATGTATAGAAGACACGTTTTCGCCTTATATTTAACATTCAAATATACTGTTGAAGATTTTAAATTTTATTTTCTAGTTGGGAGAGTTTGCTTAAAACTATGTAGCAACATCAACCGCTCTCTCTGAATTGATATATAATTGTGAATATTTTTGATAAACAAGTAATGCTATTGGAAAATAGTTTCTTTTTAAAAATGTTTATATAAATATTATTATATTATATATATATATATATATATATATTGGCAATATGTTTTTTAATGATATTTATTAGCAAGTATTCACTACAGATAGTATTATAAGTTGAATAATTACCTGGAATATATAATAAAACGAATGAAATCATGAGAAGAAGATCATCTTACATCTACAAGAGAACCTTTCATTTCATGATTTTCTTCTTCTTAATTCTCTCTTTCTATAGACCTTACAACAATTATAAAAATATTAGATAAAAAATTTGAAAAAAAAAACTTTCAGTAAATAATTTATTTAATTTTATGTCAACATAGTTTATCATTCAATTGCCAAAATTTCAAAATTAAAAATGTTTCTTTTTCATTAAAAAAATGGGGTTGAAAAATTCATCAGTAATAAACCATCTCAGCGGTTTCGCCAAATTAATCTCCATTAGTTGTTCATTTATAATTACAAAAGAAAGAATCGCAGGATACACTTGTTAGAAGAGACCAAATGTAAACACGTGACGTGTTTTTCTATTTAAAAGTCTGCGAGCTTTCGGAAAATAAAGTCCTTCAACAGGCTAAACACGAGCCTGTTGAAGAAAGTTAATGTCCGAAAGATCGCAGCTCTTAAATAAAAACCTCATCGCGTTTACTTTTGGTATCTTCTAACAATCTCTGAAAATTGTTCGCTGAGAGAGTTCACAGCTTATCAGTGAAGTTAAGTCTTCTCATCAAATAATTTTTATAATCTCTGTAAGTTCCATGTCGTTGAGAGAGATGATAAATATCACATGAGAAACATATTGTCAAAAATAAGAATTATAATTTATTTTATCGATAGATGGCAATCGAAATTATAATTCGGTTCTAAAATCACTTCATTAGGTAACGCTCAAAATGAGCCACCTAGTTTATGATATTTGCAAAAATGAATAATATGTGAAGGTTATTCACATATTAAACAGAATGTTAACGCAGGATTCAAACCCGGTTCATGGCTGTAGGGAATCGAGGATGTTACCCACTCGTCCATCGACGTTTTTTTTTTTTTTTTGAAATTATAATTGAAACAAAATTAAATTAATGACTTATCGCAAGGTTTTAAAATATATTAATATATATTTCGGGGATGTCCTTTCTCAATTTTCAGGTAAAATGAAGTTTTGAAAAAAAAAAACTTGCGGTAAATAATTTATTTAAATTTATGTCAACATAGTTTATCATGAAATTGCCAAAATGTCAAAAATATTATAAATGGTTCTTTTTCATTAAAAAAAAGGGGAGTTAAAAATTAGAACTTTGAAAATTTCCTTCATATCAAAGCCATCTCAATCATTTTGGGATTACTTGGACTTTTCTATTGTTTATTTCCTGACGGATGCGATAATTCTCTATCATTGTTCCCAAGGGGAATCTTTGTTTTCATTGTTAGATATCCCCATTGGGATTTTGACTCTTAGGTAGGAAAGAGTTATTTCTTTTCTTTCCTCTATTCAGTAGAATGTTGACTGTAACGCAATGTCTGAAAGTAAATGAATAATGATTGGTTGATATCACCATATAATTTTTAATAATGTAAAATACTATCGAAAAATATCACGATAAAATACTATGTATATCAATTTGGCCCCAACTTTCGAGTAACATAACTATATTATGTTGTGTGAGGGGAGTCGGTGGAAGGCTGGTTAAACAGTTTGGTTTTCAACCACTACGACCCGGGTTCGATTCCCGCATTGGACACTTTTTTTCTGTTAAAAAAAATGTTCCAATGGCCCCCGATTCTTGCAAAAGTCCAACCCCACCAGCGAGTGCAAGTAACCAAACGGTGCTCTGGCACATTTGTAAGTGCAAAGTCTAACTGCTTTTCACATGTGTAGACATGTGGTGCGCTTACAGTAAAATCAGTCGCTAACTACCCACATGATTATCATGGCCTGTACCACGTGTACTAGGGATAAGCAAAAAATAAAATAAAACAATAACTATATTATAAGATTATAAACTCAAAAAGAGCTTCTTCTATAGAACATGTTTATTTCCCTAGCTTTCGAACGACATCGTTCTTTCTCAATAATTTGGGGATAGATTTATATATACAGTTACGAGCGTCATTCTTCATCTCCTAATCTCCTAATCAATCAACTCTGTCACCGTTTGCTTTTTTTTTTGGAATGGCGCCCTCCTATTGGTTGGCTACGGTCACGCCACCTTTGCCCCCCCCATCATGCCCCCCCCCACCCCACACTCGCTATTTATGTAACTATTGTGTTGGAGCGGGTCGCTCCCTAAATAAATGCATATATTAGATAATAACTAAATGGAATCCTCTCTTTCTTTTTCCCAGTAAGAGACGCCTACGGAAGCCAACAGTACATAGACAGATAAAGCACATAGGCTATAGTTATTAACTAACATATGCAATTATTTAAGGCGCCAATTTATAATTGTAACAAATAGTATTTGAATCAAAACATTCAATCGGGTAAAACACGGGCGTTGCCCGGGTCATTCGGCTAGTATATATATATATTTACAAAACTAGATATTATTTTAGGATAAAATAAACATGAATTATAAATAAAAGACAATTCGCTGAAGAGAAAAATTCTTTCTTCAGTGAATTTCCGTTATTTATAATTTTACTGAAGGGTTTATAATACTAACAAGTTCTAATCATAAATTTCTGATATGTCTGCTAAAGTCGTTATTTTATTTCAGATAAAACTGGACCACGAGCTTTCAAGCCAAAATACTTTGTTTTACTCGTATTTAGGGTCGTGAAAGCCCTTTGTTTTAAAAGCCTGCTTAATTTGATATCGATCCTTCTATTTCCTTTAATTTTGTCCATGAGTATATATGTCATTTTATTTTAAATGTATTTCAATATTATTTTATCAAGCACACATACGCTGCACGAAATCGTTATTATTGTAGATAAGTGTTTGAGACGGCTTTACACAATGTCTATACATACTGAACCGACAGTGTATTTTGACAATATCCATAGTAAATACCAAAGACTTTTAATAGAATCTATGATAACCAAACAGCAAAAAAGCATAAACAGATGCATTGAAATATCAGAAACATACAAACCAATATGGTCAAATACTATCCCATAGATGTAGGCAGTCTTCTATATATAACACAATAGTTTACGAATTTATTAAATTTAAAGTCTCGAGATATCATTCAACCAGCATGTATCATCCATCCACCACGCACCTATATTCCCAAAATTTTGTTTTACAAACAGAAATAAGGTAATATATTTTTTTCTCAATATGTGTGTGTGTAATAAATATTTAAAATTAGTATATAATAATTTGTATATAAAAATTGTATTTATTCCCATCCCTGGACACTTATTTTTCCGTTCGTCATTACTCTTCATAATTCACCCTTTCATACCTCATCCAAAAAGGATAGAAATAGTCGATATTTCACCTTGAAATAAAGTTTTGATTTTTCGTTTAAAAGAAACTCATGCGGTGTAACTTCAAGTGTCGTTTTACAATCACAGGCCGCAGTGTATTATATTATATTATTTTGTATTTATTATTTAGTTGTTAAAGTGATAATCATGTTGAAGGACTGACAAGTCCAAAAGCTTGAAAATAAAAGTTACACAAGAAACCCTGGTACCTCATTTATTTTATAACATACCGAATCTGTGTGTTCAACTTTGTGATTTTTCGAAGTGACAAAACCTCGCACGTTTGGATACTTGCAATAATTAGTTT